CGGCTTTCTTATGAGATGACATTTCAACAAAAGAACGGGATCGACCTGCCCTCTACGGATTTTTTGGTATTGTTCTGATTCAGCTCATCCCCAGAAACGAAAATGCAAAAAAGGCAAATAACTCAATAATGGCAGTGTAACGACATCATGAAAACAACCTTGAAGAACAATAATGATTTGCTGAAGTAGACGCAGAAGAAAGCTATTGCAATAAAACACTTCAAATTCCCAGCCTTCTGGCAACGTTTGGTTGTGGCTCGGAGTGCCATATTCTGCTTCCGAATGCTTAAAGGTACAGTTCACGATAGAAACGGTTCCTGAGATTCCCTCACAGGATGAATTTGAGGTCCCCGCGTATCATATCTGGCACTATTGGATAGGAAAACGGCCTTATAGGGAGTTACAAAGGCTCCAAAGATTGGCCTGTGTGTATCCACGGACGAGTTTCACCGGCACTGTAGAGGCTGCACCGATCCCAAGGGAACCCATGTAGGAATTATAAACAGCTTCTCATGACCCGTAACGATATTGAAAGACAGTTCTGTACAGTGCCGGCTTGATGTAGTCAACTCTTTGTGCAATTGCAATGACTGAAATCTAGTCCAAATGTTATTTCCGTCATGGCAATCTCGTCCAACCTCTAATTTCCCTACTTTTGAGGAGCCACATTTTTCTTGGAATACTCGCTTTCTTCACTACCGATGAACTATTACTAGTCTATACTTCCGCTTTTCGAATGAAAACGGGTACCTCGAAATTATCGCGAACTGTGCCTTTAATTAGATTCTAGTGCGACAATTCCTCTGAGGAGGACTTTCGGGAGGAAATGGTCATGAATATACTAGCTTCCGGCGGGAGATAACCAAATTTTCTTGCTTCTCCACCTGCTTTAGAATTATGCATAACTTGATTCTTGATTCTGAGAGAGTACCAGGATAGGTCAGGGATGCTGAGGAGCATCTCACATGCAAGTGTGGCTTGAAGATCAGCCCTCCAATCGGTATTGGCCCTGAATTTATCTACTTTCCTTCTTCCCCTCCTGAAATGAACTGCATGAGTCTCTGTAATTCGAGCCAAAGTTCTGCATTGTCGGAAGGCCCCTGTGTAGGCCAGTACGCTACCGGAGTACTGGGCTCATGGCTGAGCTGGGTTAGATCTGACTGAAGAGCTGTGACCGGTCTTCTTACTCCTCTCCCCGTCCCTGAGTCTAATCCACATTCTGAGTGCAGTCACTATTCATTCATGGAGTACTGAATTACAAATACACAACTTGATATCGTTATAGCGATTTGTTTCAGGATATGGACACATTGCTCCCGAAACTTTCTATGGCCGCTTGTTCTGTATTTTCTTTGGCCTGATCGGGGTCCCACTCACCCTGCTCACTGTAGCTGATCTTGGTATGTTTATCTCAATGATTATGCGACAAGCAGTTGCCAAGATATCGTCTTTATATAATCGATTCAAATGGAGGCCATCGAAGGTAGGAGTAACCCTCGAAAGTAGGAGATATAACCCGGTCAACTGTTTACCTCACCCAGGTGCAACTTCCTGATTCTCCACCCTGCGACGGCACGCTCTCCACTGCTCGAGATTTGAAGAGTTCAGAAACCGAAGACGACGAAGAAGAAGGAATGTCCGAAGACCTTGGATCGAGGTGAGCTCAAATTAGAATTGCGAAGGGCACCCGTTACCGAGCTTAACTTTTTGCATTTCAAGACGAACTGCTGAAGCTCTAGTACTGTCCGTGACGTTCGTAAGTTACTTGGTGCTCGGTGCTAAAGTACTGTCCGTCTATGAACCAGAAATGGACTTTTTCAATGCATTCTATTTCAACTTCGTCACCCTCACGACCATAGGTCTGGGAGATTTTGTACCCAGAAGGTGGGTTCGAACACTTAGAAAATACACCGTTGTCAACATATGGAGTTTTTTACAGCTTTGATTACCTCTATGTCACTTTACTGTATATCGGAGTTGGTCTCGCCCTGACCACAATGGTCATCGAAATGGCAGGTGATCTGCTTCGAAAGCTTCATTATGTCGGCCGAAAAATCGACAACATGGCCAATACTACAGTATGGTTTGGAGGGAAGAGGTAAGCTTCAACTCGTGCGGTATTGACGATAGACGTCCGAAATTTGGACCTCCTTTAGAATGACGATGAAGAACCTTATAAAGAACCTGGGAGATCAGTTCAATGTGCCCGAAGAAGAGCTAGCGAAGTTCGATCTCAATCAGTTCGTCGAAAACGCTCTCAAAGTTGAAGCAGGAGAAATAAAGACGTTGCGGGTACGTTGACCAATGGGCTTTGATCGACTGGGCGAGTTTTCCGGCGTCAGTTGTACTTGTACTATATTTTGATGTACAACGAAAGTTCTTCGATAATACATAGTGTTATGGAAAAGTATTCAAATCTGCCCTCCATCTGTTTCCTGCACTATTACGATTTGGAAATACTAAGTCAATAGTCTGAAGGGGCGGGGTTTGTGAAAAGGGTGGGTTTTAAAAAACTACTAGACCTACTGATCGTTAATCGTTCATTCTATATGAATAAGCTTTTGTTGAAGGAAAATTTTTCAGAAACAAGTCTCCCCGCTTATTTTGTGCGACAAAGGAGCGGTAACCTACCGTAAACTACGAAACAAAAGCGAAAGTGAAATACACTTCGTGGACGAACGTCTAGGAAAAAATTGTGGTAAGTTTGCAACTGAGGTTTTGACTTTGAATATTCGAACTTGCGGAAATGTCGGAGCGGTTTCTGCAGGGAGAATAGCAATCTGGTGGTGGAGCTGGTCACCAACACCTCACTTCTCAATAGAGAATTGTTAGACCCATTGTTTTGTTACATTTTCCCATTGGTGGTTCGATAATCCACCAGTAGGAAGCTCTATGAAGTAGGCCAGCTCCGTCCACTATTTGCGATTCCCCTACATCATCGCCCTTGTGGAGCTGTAGACACAACAGCCACCATGACTAAGACTTGTTCAATTCAGACACAGTTGGAGATTCGGTACGTACAATGGAAACGCTACCGCTAGGTGAAGTCAGGGACTGTATTGACTTTCAAGTTCGTTTTCTTTTGTTTGTTTTGTTGCCATCAGGACCCTGATTTCCTCTCTTTCTCAACATTCCACATGAAAATCAATCTTTTTTTTTTGTACGAACAAGCACCCCTAGTCAGTAATTGGTTCATTAGGTCTTCCATTTCAGCGACCTCTTTTTGAGAGGATCCTTTCAGATGGACTTCGTGAACATTCTCTGACACTGAAAATGTTCCAGATTCCCTATTTGGATTTTGGCTGTACAAACTTCATTGATTCTTCTGTGCCGACGTCGTTTGATGATGAGTACTTGAGGACTCTAGAAACGAATAGAAGAAGACCGTAGGAATCAAGAGAGACTGGTTACTAGAAACCGCAAACCAGGCCATATGTTCTTGTTTAAAGACACATTCCACGATAACCTGGTTGCTCTTGTAACAGTAGAGGATACAGTAGCAGTATATTGTCGAGATTCAGGCATTAGGGCAAGACGAGCTGATGTGGGAGTCAAATGGAATAGGGGAGCCAGTAGGGGATAAGATGGAGGGCATAAATGAGTGCCGACCCAGCTTGTGCAGTTGATTTCGAGGTATTTACAGTATGAGAGAAGTTCAGGGGCGTAATGACAAAGAGCTGTTGACGAGATCTAGTAAAAACAAACGGTAACTGATTAATCTGTTCTGAAACGCTCCGCAAAGTCTTTCTGGAGTGATACGAGTTCAGATCCTCTTCTGAAGTATTTTTGAGGTTTGCTAGGGATTGTTCGAGAAGGTAAGCCACGAAGGTGCCATAGAACCTCCTCATTAGAGGGCCAAGCGGGTTTCCTTGTCAAAAATCGTTTACTCAGCTACTCGAATGTCCCCTCAAATGGAGGCTCCACTGTGCGGAAGGTCTTATCTTGCAATTTTTCTCACTGGCAAATTGCTCTCATTCTCGAGCGACCTCAGCAGATGTGTAGGTTACGTCGGAATGTGCCTTTAATGATACAGTGCCCAAAAATCTATAAATTTTACACATTAATGAGTAATTTATTGATTAGTATCACAGGAAATCAACCTTAATCTCATAATTTATTGTACATATAAGAATATTCTGCCTTTGTGAAGTAGTCATTAAGATTGTTATGTACTACTATGATAAATATTATATTTTGAAGTTGAATAGATGTTCTCAACTAAACTTATAATATGAACGGTGAACGGGAATCAATAATGCTGAGAACGAAGGCCAGTGTTAGTCTCATTGCTCTAATTGTTCCAACGATGGAAGTTCCATTAAGGTGGAATGGGTCTGTTTTGCAAAAAAAAAAAGCAAATTTGGTCCGAGAGTCATAGCAATAGGAACAACTTCTCATTGACTCATGAAGTTCATGTCCGTAACGGTTCTTCACCCATAGGAGTGTCTCTTTGCATAAACGACAGTCTTTAAACACCGAAGGTTAGTGAGAGGACTGGAATTAGGGAGTTGACCTAATACATACTGACATCTGGGCGATGTAAACAACAAAACTGCATGCTTAGACAAGCCCTCTTAGAAGGTGGCTCGGCACGGTGACTGGGCTAATATTGAAGGCAGAAGTTTAAAAATAACCGCAGACGTAATTCAGTGCTATTTTGGCAACTGAGAGTAGATGAAAACTGAGAATGATGATTTACTGGGACATGAATTTCGATAGAGGCTACTGACACCCTCATTGGAAACGTGCTCAATCATTTAAAAAGTTTGAGTCAGCAGCTTTCAGGGTAGAAAACAGGGTGAGGAAGACGGAGAGTCAATGTAAGGTTGAAAAGGTCTTCATCTTTGAGCCCACATTCCATCCTGGACGTGCAACCTGATTTATTCCGTACTTAATGTTAGGAGGGAAAATTCCGAAATCTATTCAATAAGTTGTATCACGATTTTGGTGAGTTGTTTGCGATGTGGGTGGTGGGGCAGATTTCCTTCATGAAGATTAACCTGTCGATGAATAACTCATACTAAATTACATGGTTACAAATCGATTCAGTAAGCAAACATTTATCTAAGAAATTGAAAGGCAGGTGACTTTCTTCCTGTTCTTTCGTTGCTTACGGTAGGCCTTTTTCGAATTCCTCTTTTTCATTAGAATGTACATTTTCCTATTGCAACCATTTTCTCGGCAACATGATCCTTGCTGAAATATGAATAAGAATACATCGAGTACAGATCAAAAACCTCAAATGCTACTTACCTGGCAATCGCTAGACAGCCCGCAGCCAGTTTCATATAATTTGACGCTTTTTACTCCAGAATATTGCTCGATTACCGTCTTTTTCCTGCAACATGCTCCTTCTTATGATACCTATTACCTTCGCAAAACTATATTTCCTTTCCTGGGTACAGATCGCTAGGAGCGGTTGTTATAGTCATCTCGTCAAAACTGGTTTCCCATATAATCGTCAAGTTTGAAGACACGTGTTGGTACCGATATATGGGATCCGGGACATGACAACTTGAATGTCTCACAGGGATGGCGAATTACGGCTAGAACTTACAACTAGTACTCGAATAAATGTGTTGTCACGAAACAAAACGCCCTGAGTTTGTATCTCCAATTAGGTCTGTCGGGCGGAGGTGGTCTGATGGCGAGTGTCGTACTATCACACACGCATCGTCACGGGTTCGAAGCCCAGATCGACATCCATCAAGGCCAACCAATTCTTCCATCCCTCCGGGATCGACTAATTGGTACAGACTCGTCTGGGAGGATAAAAGTACTGACTTGGACATCAGTTGGCAGGGCCACCGCAAACCATTGTGTAGGCTACAAAGGCATCCATTTCGCGACTAGTATCCTGAATCGGAATCGGATGCCTGGGGCATCCGATGGGATTTATTAAGGAGATACTTTGACTATGTCTACCAGATTGTTGACACTTACTTCTTCCTGTGTGCCTATGTCACGCAAAGTATCTTCTATCTCTTTGAAAGGTGATTTAAGAAATGCGGAATGAGCCATATATAGCGGTGTTCTGAGCTCATGATTTGAAGAAAAATGTACCCGACTTGATTCCCTGTGGCAGGTTCACGAGGTGCAATATGCTTTTGACTGTTCAAAACAACTGCCATTAGCGGCTCAAACTGCCTCTTTTTCACCCTGTTTCTATCTTGCAACTTTTTTAATTGACGGCAAAAAACTGTAGTTGGTCTTCAATTCAAAAACGAAATAGCTAAGTCATTACGTTAAGCAGACATCGTGGACCGGCCTGCATGGTAAGCAACCGTAGTCGTGTTCTTCTAAATCTATGAATCCTTTGATTGCCAGAGCATTATCTGGAAAGAAAACTTTTCAGTCGATGGTAAGGTGCGAAAAAATCAACCAAACAGTACAAAAAACAGTAAAGGCACAGTTCAAGTTCAAGAGATTTCTGAGATTTCCTGCTAGAATGAATCTGTGGCTCCAAGGATGGTTCATAGGCCATTGTCGGGCCGAAAAACGGCCTAAATAGAGCGTGTAGAGAATAAATTAATAAATAAGAGCAGAACCGGTTTGGTCGACGCAGTCACCCAAAGGGTCCGTGTTATGCTGGCATTGCTACTATTCACAGGGCCAGGCGAATAGTACGCCTCAACGAGAGACACCCAGACGGCCATCTCGCACTGACCGCTTTCTTGCTACTTTTTTGAAGATTTATATTATTAAAATCCAAAAATGTTCGCTTTTTCTTCGCCACCCTTGGACTTTTCTGAGAAATCTCGAAATTATCGTGAACCGTCCCTTCAAGGTAGAGTTCGGTCAGAAAAAATATTTTTTAGATGTCGTTCTTGAACTTGAGATCTCTTTGAGACGGTCAAGGCAATAGGAGCACGAAAAGTTCCAAGAAACTCACATGTCCAACAATGCAGAGCTGAAGTGGTCCAGATCAGAGCACTGAAAGTGATTGGTAGGCATCGCATGACATGAACTGTGTGCCACTGTAGAATCGACCTCTATATAATTGACCTGGGCAACCCGAAGACCAACCAGAACACAGACGTAGTGATCGTGTGAAAGGGAACGACTGTTGAAAAGAAGTGAGGAAATGTTTGTTTCGATCAGTCAGCTAAGTAGCGCATTTGCTTTCGATAACATTTCATTGTCACAGGAAGTGTCATTATGTTTCTACAACAACGTAACGGATGACGTCAAACTTTAATGTTCTTCTGAACCATTGCTTTGGTTGTTTTGAAGACGAAAGGATGGAGTATTGGCGTTGCTCGATGCCGTTTCGGAAGAAGCTTACGCGGTTGACTTTTACT